GTACCAGACTGCTGTTTCCGTGTTGCTCCCGTTTGACGCGTAACTGCTGAAAGCTTCAGTTACAACCGCCGTGTATTGTGGAAAATGTGTGGTATGTTTCAAGAGGTGATAGAAGGTCTGCTTGGCTTCCATAAGGCACTTGGCCATTCACAAACTTGCCACCCGCCACCCAAAAAAGCTCGCTTTTAGGTGCACTATTTAACGAGTTTTGTCATGGTTGTGTTATCGACACGCTTAGAAATCAATGCATTAGGGATTAGGCAGGCCATCGGAACTTAATTTAACCCTTTTTGAAGCAAACCAAGGTCGAAGATTTAATTGAACCACACTATAAAATAGTGTATTCATGGTCACTTGTGGTCTGGAGTAAAGAAGTACAGCTATAATGTAACCATTAAAATCTATAAAAATCTAAACGCATTTTTTAAAATTATTTACACCTGTGTCGTGCACAGGTTGCACATGTGGACGCGACGCCACTGGGAAAAACCTACAATAACAAACCAAATTTAATGCCTGAAATCGCAAGTGTCCGAGATTATCTCCCTACACACTTAGAAATTATCGAAGACTTCTCTAATCTAATCTAATCTAATCTCACACTAACGCAGCCAATACTTTGAAAGCATCCTGGAAAATGACGGCTTCCCGAATCCGTCATTTTTCTTGTCAACGGCCAGGCCAACTGCGCAGCATGTGCCGCAGAGAGGATTTCAAGGAGTCAAGTGATGTCAGAAATGAATATCTGAAACCACTCCACAATCTGAGATCAAGGGAAAGGAAGAAAGCGTGGACCTCCCGTACCAAACGCTTCCAGTTACAATTGAATAATAGTATTTATATGTTTTCGTTGGGAGCATAATTGCTATAAAATTTAATTTATGCTCCTGGTGTCTTTGGATGAACTTTTGGCATTTGAACCAAAAGCCAGGCTATTTCTGGGTTAACATTTGAAACAAGCGGAACAACCATCCGTAAACGACAGCTCCAAACACAAACCCTTCAACCATCAAAAACACACCCACGAAATATAACACCAGCACACTTAGAAATTATCGAAGACTTCGGTAATTTTTACCAAAATCTAAACAGCTGAACTTCTCGGTAAATTTTATGCAATTTAATTCAATTGCTTTTCAGCTACTTTGAAACTAAATCTCCACTAAAATGACAAGATTTGATCACTTAAACAAGGTTGAACATGTTTTGATATTATTTTTTAAATTCAATAGCCTTTAAAATGAAGGTCAAAGTTTTACCGAACGTTCAGCTATTATGATTTCGTTAAAATTTACCGAACACGTAAACAAAATCTTAGTGTGTAGAAAACTCGAAGTGGCAGTGCAAGTGCCTATGCTCTGTGAACGCTGGATCGTATTATCTTAAGAGACCGTATGCTAGGTTTATTGAATTTTCCCGGTTCTCCCATCAAATTCTTGAGTTTTTTTTCCGCTTTTCCAGGTTCACTGGCCACCCTTATTGCTTTCGGCACTAGGGCCAACTTTTGATCTCCAATTACTTAGTCTAAGATTACAAAAAAAATATATATATATATATATATATATATATATATGTATATTCAAAGGGCTTGAAATCTAAAAATAAAATAAAGTCTCTTACAATTTGTTGCATAAAACCGAAGACAACAAATCAAGAAGACTGGCAACTCTTACATTTTCTCATACGAACGCTATGAGCCAGGTACAACCGCGTCATCTGTCGCTCAAAGATAAATGCTTCGAACGAATTTCATAGCAAAGATTACATCCTCAGAAGAAAGGTTTGTGTATTTGCTCATTTTTCTATGCGTTGCTTCCACCTTCACTCAAGCGCAGCGCTATTGTATCTGTTGCTTGGATTCTCCATAAAAGGCTCTTTGATTCACTCCGAAATTCTTTTAAAATTCTCAATTGGGTTCGCTTGAAATTCCCCAAAGAATTCTCCTGAAGTAAACTCTTCTCAGTATTCACTAACTATTGTCCTAAAATTCACAATGAACTATCTTCAGAATTTCTTCTCAATTCCACACAAAATTCTTTTGGAGTACGTAGTCCTGTAAATTCCATGAAATGATCCACAGAATTCTCAAGGTACTCTTCTCCAAAAAATATAACAGGAATAGCATTTAAATTCTCCTAAGTAATCGTTTAAAATTTAACAGAAACTTCGTTGGAAATTTCCTTGAATCATTGCTTAGAATTACTTTGGAATTATCATTAGAATTCACTGCATTCTTTTCAGAATTTCTTTCCTTCTCTTGGAATTCTACTCACAAAAATATAGAAGTTCTCGATAAAAATTCCTTAGAATTCTCCTCAAAATTATTTTGAAATTTTACTCAGAACTATCATGGGATTCTCTTTGGAATAACATTGAAATCTTCTTCGGAATGCTGTTGGAAATTTACATTGAATCCTACTCATGATTCTCTTGGGATTCTTCTCAGAACTACCTTGGAATTCTCCTTACGTTTCACCTGGACGCAGCAGTTCAACAAAACTAACATGAAATCTAGACCAACAATTGAAATAGGCGAAACAACCGATGAGGCTTGCAAATTCCTCGAGAATCAAAGCACATCTAAGAAATCTAACACCATCATCTGATAGAGCAAACTTCCTTTATCGAATGGCTTGGTTAGTTTACGTGGGAGTATTTTGATTTTCGAGAATTTTGTGTCTAAAGCCATTGTTTACGTTTGGTTGTTCCGCCTATTTCAATTGTTGGTCTAGAAATTAATGTATCACGTCAAGCTTTCCTAATAATTCTTTCCTTGGAATTCTCCTCTGAATTTCGAGTGCCTAGGAAAATTCTCAGCAGGTCGCAGTGGGTTATTCTGGTGTGAGGTGTAAACGGTTATAGAATTAACTCGATCATAATCATAATTGATAGCAGAACATCTTCTTCTTCTTTTTCGCATTTCAAGCTTATTGCAAGCAGAACATCATGAGCATAATTTCATGTATGTAAACATTCGTGAGTCGTTTTTTTTTCTCAATTTTTAGCTCGAACACATCACTTTAATTCAGCGTACCGGTACCAAAACGAACCTTGCTGCACAAAAAAAAGCTCAATAAAGTGAATCGATCAAAGCAAGTATGACCCTTTGAAATGTTTATCTAGAATAGTATTCTCATGCACAAACTGATAAAAAGGATATGAGAAATTTTTTATGAGTGACCCTCCGCTCTCCTTCACATCAAAAGGCTCCATGCTGAGCCCCCTGGTAGTGGACACTCAAAACTCAACCATAAGCAACACAACACAAAAAAAAATAAGAAAAATTGTTGAGTATTTATTTATAAGACATTAAATTAACAAAGAACAAAAATATACAGTTAAAACAATATACAGTCAACTCTCCATAGCTCGATGTCCACTAACTCGGTATCGAGTTATAGAACCATAGCAAACAATAATTTCGTCGCTACTGTGAAAGCGATTTTGTATAGAGTTGTTATTCTATAGCTCGATGGTCCCTTCAATATCGAGTTGTAGAAAGCTCACTGTATGTGCTTCTAGTGGATTTAATATCCTTTGAAAGAAGCACAGCAACGTGTTTCTACTAACAACCTAGTTATAAATTTACTCTTTTTAACGACTAAGAAACTGGCTTAATTCGTTTTAATAGCACAGGTCTTCACATACCACGATTCCTTAAAGTTGCGCAACTATAAATTATTTTTGGAGCAATACTGTTATATCTAAGTGACTTCTTCACTAACACGCAACCCATGGCAACACTGGCCGCTTCCCATGTTAGAAATCGCAACGTAATAGTGTAGTAGTATTCAAGTAGACGTAACAATTTAGCGAATGATTTGACTGATTTCGTCAGTAGTTTTGTTTCACGTTGCAAGTTCAGTGTCCTGAAATTAGCATATCCGCAACGTTGTTCTCAAACTACATTCTGCCGTTATATGCATAAGTGTCCCATGTTCTACGCAATCCTTATGGACCGTGGGACAGTTCAGCGTATGACAGCAGTATAGCTTCCTTTTAAAATGCAGATTCAACACCAAACAATAATGATTCCATGATCAAGAACAACTCTTACCTTGCCGGACCGGGACGGGCCTTGTTTCGTTTGTTCATGTCGTTATCTTCCGTGACGGACGCAGAGGAAGCGGGCGAAGAGGAGTGGCCCAAAGAGGAGCCTTCCCTATGGTTTCGCGTCGGGACCGGAATTTTGACTACCGAATAGTACACTATTTTGCCACCGACAACGGACAACGGATCGACGATGATCACCGAGACACACTAGGGTACACTAAAGGGATTCTGTCACTTCCTGTTTAAATTTGCAACCGATTTGCCTCCCTAGCACTTTGTTTATTATTAACAGTAAAATAAAAACTTTTGTTCTTCACGTAAAATTCAACCACGAGAGTTAGAGCCGAACGGCGAGCTGTTGCTGCTGCTATTACTGTCAGCCTTTATGTAATCCTCTCTTGTCAATGATGAACACTGACGACCATTGGATGTATCCGCGCCAAGAGTTGCTTCACTATATGTGTTTTACTCCACTGCTGCTACTTCATTAGCAAGCTGCTCCTCCTCTTATGCTCCAGGTAAATCTCGAAATTGGATCCAGCCAGATTTCGAATTTCTACCTAAACAAAAGCAAAAATTCCCTTTCTTCGCTTTGTCGCCTCTGTTGCTGCTTGGGAGGGTATGAAAATATAAGAATTTGTTGAGGAATCAAAACACGGATTCGCTTTTCACTTTTCTCGATATTGGCAGCCTTCAAATGCTCTTTGTATTCCCTTTTCTTTCTCTTTGGCGCTGAAGTTCTCCCTTTTTTTACACTCTTCTTCTTGCGTGGCTCTGATGGTCGTGCAAACTTCTTTCTTTCCACCACCGTCAAAACTTTTCGCAGCGCGCTCCAAAGGCCAACTTTTTTTTTTCACGACAGATTTTCTCGTTCGTAGTGCGTGATCGCAAACTGCTATCACTTCCGAACGCTTCCGGTCGGATTCGCGAGCACTTTTATCACTTACACGTAGTGCGGCCACAGAAATTAACGATTAACTTCGAGATTAATTAAATCGCGCGAGCACGAGTTGAAAATGCTTCTTTCACTCGCAGTTTCACTTCAACAATGAATGACGACGACGATGATGGAGGATGGATAGCGATTCTGCGCCTGTGTGCGTGTGTTTGGATGATATCTTTTCCCTTTTTTATGCTGCCTGACAGAAGGATGAGAGCCGTCAGGGAAAAAAGAGAAGTCCGTTGTTGTCACAAATGGAGTCAGTGTTGGCAGATCTGTTTGCTTATTCTTTGCCGATGAGGCTTGAACACACTATTTCAAAACTACCTAAGTTTGGGTAGGTTCCATTCTGATCGACGGTCCCGAAGAAACGTACTCAACTTTTTGGCTCAGCTCTGGTACGCTCTTCGGTATCAAGCTAATCGATGCACCCCTCGAAACATAGGAAAATCCACGAACCCCTCATTTTATCTGTCAAACTTTCATAGCGAATCCAAACAAACATAGTGTTGTACTAGAATTTCGACTCGAATGGGGTAAGTTAATCGATTTGCTTGGGACCAATAGGCTAGTCAAGTAGTGAGCCAATTTAAAATCGTTAGTTTCCACCGGTTGGTAGTAGTGTTGCCATAGCAATACACAGCAAAAAAAATGTAATATCGATCAATGTAATTCAAGCTGATGTATGAAATAATGATGTAATTGTAAAAAGCAGATGCAATATTACATCAATAGATGTAATTTTGTTCGCAAAATCGATGTACATCGTACAACGTTATATTACACAACCGATGGATTGACCTGGTTGCAGCAGTTTGGATGTAATATTCAACAACTTTTTTTTTCTGTGTAGCAGGTTCACCACCAAAGTTTTCGAGCCGTTCCGTCTCTCACTTTGTTTGTGGTCGCTATAGTGGGTTTTTCGGTTTTCAACTTTACCGATAATCTCGTCGATAATATTATAATAAGTATAACTACTTATTATGATGATGTCCATTACGGATCATAAGCATAATAATTGGCGTTACAGATAAGATTAATTTTCACGACAAAAATATTGAACGATGCCAACGAAAAAGCTGATTTGATTACCATAACACGGGGAGGTATACAAGTGTAATCCTAAAATGCATTTATTTTGCGAACAAATTAATTTAATAAAATCTGGTTATAGCTACGTTAGTAGAAAACTTAAGGGCTACCCAACTAACAATTGCCTATTGAAGAAACGACTTCTTGACGATTTTATTCCACTTCATGCTTAATAATACTTGCTTTATTTTTAATAATAACTTGTGTTCAGCCTTTGTTCACACAAATCTGGGGAATTTATTCAACCACAACATCGAAATATTTGGTGTTGAATAAGGTATGCCGATAAGCTTTTATTCGACTTACAAAAGTTGTAACAGAGCTTGTTCGATCAAATTGTTGATTATTCAGCGTTTATTAGACATCATTACTTCCTTAAACAGTGATGGTATAAAGGTGTATATAGACGCTTGATTATCATGTGAAATAATGTTTAATTAGACATCTTTATACATTTATTAAACAATTATTCAACTACGGGATAATTAATCCGAAAATAAGAACGGGACAGAGCTGGGTTGTTACAACAATCAATTCGAAACTAACGATTTTAAATTGGCTCACTACTTGACTAGCCTATTGGTCCCAAGCAAATCGATTAACGTACCCCATTCTAGTATAAATTCCAGTACTACACTATGTTTGTTTTGATTCGCTATGAAATTTTGACAGATAAAATGAGGGGTTAGTGGATTTTCCTATGTTTCGAAGGGGGCATCGATTAGCTTGGGACCGAAGATAGTACCAGAGCTGAGCCAAAAAGTTGAGCTCGTTTCTTCGGGACCTACTAGTCTTAGAGTTACCTCCATACCTAACATCCCTTAATCGGTTGGTTTTAAAATTTAAAATTCGGAGGAAATTGTTGGTGGATTTTTGTATGAAAAGAGATCACCATAACTTGATTTCCATGACATTTCTTCTGATGTTTACTTTTGACTCCTTTGTTCCAAACCAGAGACGATGTTTAATAAGAGACGCGCGAAGACTGAAGCCAAAAGTTCCAATCGAACCGTCAAACGCGGTTCCAATCGAGCAATGTTAATAAACACGAGCGCTTCACGAGGAAAAGCGTGGAACTTTTAGCTTCAGTCTTCGCGCGTCTCTTGCCGGAGATGAACCAGCGTCTGACTGAAAATCTCCTTAATAAAGACAACCAACCAACCAACCAAAGATCGTCTCTGGTTTGGAACAAAGGAGTCAAAAGTAAACATCAGATGAAATGTAATGGAAATCAAGCTAAGGTGTTCTCTATTCAACCTGGTTTCCACCGGTTGATGTTATAGCACCCAAATTAAAATCGGATGTACGTGAAAGTTGATTAATCCACCACTTCGGACACGGCGTGTGAGGTTTCATGCTTGGAATAATTTTTTGATATTTTCACAAAAACCCGGGCTAAAACAAAACTATCTTTATTCAGGAACTGGAAATTTTTGCTAGACGTCACATGATCTTTCGGATAAATTAGCAATGTTCCAGGGTCAACTTAACAAAACTTTTTGTTTATTTTTCCTTTCCTTAACGTAAAAAAGTTCGAATGTCTTTTTACAAAATTGATATCAATATGTCTTTTTTTTATGTCAAGTCTATCGTTTGAACTTATTATATTTTGATTTTGATTAATCGCGTGTTTACGTGCATATATTTTGTTATGTTATTGAAATTTGCTCAATTTGAGCTACCTTCTATCACAAGTAAAATTGAATTTCACTTTTCAATCCTGACATAGAACTAACTTGATTCGAAAAACGTTAAACCAACAATCAATACGAAACTAACGATTTTAAATTGGCTCACCACTTTAGTAGCCTATTGGTCCCAAGCAAACGATTAACGTACCCTATTCTAGTTGAAATTCTATTACTACACTATGTTTGTTTTGATTCGCTATGAAAGTTTGACAGATAACATCAGGGGTGTGTGGATTCATGCAGAACATGCAGGGGTGATTGAAATAGCTTGGGACTGCTTGGGACCGTTGTTCTGGTACTGAGTGAGCCAAAAATAATAATGATTTTCTTCGGGACCCAGTGGTCTTAGAGTTACCTCTATGGTTAAACTGCCTTAAGCATAGATTTAAAATGTCAAAATGCTAAAATTGCTTTTATTTACTCATACTGCTCCTCTTTCCACCACTACTCTAATGGCACAGATTTGATTTTCGCTTGTCGTCGTTATCGTTGATAACAGAGCATCAGCTTCTTTTTTTTTTCTTGTTTATCCGAGTTGTTAGCTACACCAGGTGCTACTTTTATGCTTTCTGGGATTACGCGTGTAAATTGAACATTTGTTAAACGAACTATGCATAAGTAGAGCACAACGCTCTGTCCGTAAAATATATAGTGATCATTTGGTTAAATATTTGTAGCCCCTCGTTCGTCATCGGTTATCAGCGATTTGAAGCGTGTGTTTTTGTTTAACTTGTTTGTTAAAATTCACAATTCGTTAAGTAAAATCTATCATCTAACCAGTACTGCGAATACTATAAAAACTCCTAAATCTTAATTCATCAGCCTTGCGTCTAATCAATTTGTTCTAGTATTTAATGAATCGTATTTTGTGTGTATGTGAAGTTGTATGCAAATGTTGTGACTCGTTTCCAATGCAACTGTTTTTTTTAGCGGAATCATTTAAATTTCTTGCATGCAAGTCGGGAAGGTTGTAAACGAGTTGGTCTCCTCTGCTCCTTCAAAAATTGCTATTTTCCGTTTCCTGTTCTGGCACTTCCTGCAGATGAGATCACATTCTTTTTTGTTGGACAATAAAAATTGAACGATCAAAATCAACAACATTTCCCTAACATCAACATTTTACGTTTGATTTGCTCGGATTTCTATTCGATTGGAATTTGAATCACATTCAGGGGCAGCTCTGGTCAGTACTTTTCCTCTTCCAGCTCCAGTTGCCGTGCGTGTCGGATGTTGTTGAGCCCGTGGGAGTTCCGCTTGATGGTGGCCGTGTCGGGATCGTTGAACGATTTGGACAGCACTTTTGGTGTGTTGCTACCGAGCACTCCTCCGTTAACGTTGTTCGACTTGGTTAGCGTTGTATGGCCGTTGGAGATTTTCGATCCGCTGGCATCGTTCCGGCCGTTGAACGATGACTGGCGTTTTGGTTTCTGGCTTTCGGTGTACTGGAACGGAAGAGGTTAACGCGTGAGAATTTGGGCAGTTTTGGGTTGTTGTGAAGCTGGAATTGGGCAAAGTTTCATGTGGCAGACAGACAGGACAGCCAAAAAGGACAGACAGACAGACAGCGAAAGATTTTGTTTTGCCGAGAGTAGCACCACCAGCTTGGCATTTATTTTTACTGAGATCTCAGCGGTGCCAATCTCGAAAAAAAAACTAAATGTATAGAAGAAAAAAAATGAGATCTGGTCTGGTAAATCATTTACATTAATTTCGTCACTAGATTTTCAATACTACGCAGCCTGCTGACCAAATATTTAAAATCATGCCATTACTGCATTCATTACTTTAAATATACTCTTAATTTCATTAAATACTTTAATTACTGACTAAATTTAATATTTTAATTATTTTCAATAAATTTAAATTATTTTTCGTTACATTAATTATCGATAATTATTTGTTCATTACTTTCAAAATAGCTAAATTTATTTAAATTCAAATAATAACTATCTTCAAATTATTTAAATTACAACGATGTATTTTAAAAATCACGCACTCATACCTGCAAGTGCGCGCCCCTCGCCGGATCAATGTAAGCCAAATTTAAAGTAGATGTCGACCCAATGTCGGGTTAATGTCGGGGCAATTTGGGTGTATTTCAGGTCAATGTCGGGTAAATATCGGGTTGGGGCATGATAGACGTCAGGTTGGTGTCGGGTTGGCTTAGATTTTTCGCCAGAATGTCGACCAGAGCTCCGTTTGTGTGTAGATTACACTCAATTGAATGATAAGGGAAATGGTTCTAATGTTAGCCTATGGATATAAGATTGGGCCCATGGCTAAAACTCTGCTATTTATCAACTTTTATTTAGATGAACGCGTCATTGGGACGGTACTAATGGATATTTTTGGTCGCTATTGAAAATTTAGCCCATTGATGAATTTATGTATGGGCCCAAATTAGGGGCATTTAGGCCGACATTACATCAATTTCCCCTATCAAGGGTTTCTCAAATGAGAATGATCCATGCCTTCTTCAAATGACTAAGCTAACTGATATCACCCATTCGAAGGAGGTCCTTTTGATAGCGAAAAGCGGCTTTTCTCATTTTCATCAAAAATGTTCAATTGATTTTGATAATGTACAGCACTGTACAGAAGTACACAGCAAAAAAATAATTTTGATATCACGTCAAAGTGGATGCACTACAATCAGGTCGAGAATATGGTGTAATATTACTTGCTAAAAAGGACAAAATTATCATTAATACAATGCATGAACTGACATTACGCTGCTTTTACTGCATTTGTTTATTTATGTGGTCATAAAAATTACATGAAATTTTCGACATGATTGTAGTGCATCCACTTTGATGTGATATCAAAATTATTTTTTTGCTGTGTAGAAGCTTAGAATATAGAAAACTAGGTTTACAAATAAAGAAATCAATGATTAGAATACGAGAACACTAAACAATTATAGAGCATTTTGCAATTTTAGTTTGGCAGAAGAATGGAAGACTAGGAAAATAGAACACCCCAAATTAGACGCCTATCCAATTGTTATTTCTCCGATCGATCGTCTTCACCAAAATTCTCATACTTACATAATTGCATACTTACATCTTTCGTCGGTAGCGATGAGTACTGATTCGGATAGGACCCGTAGCACGGTGAGCCCTGGATCGCTTTGATTCCTTTCGTTTTCTTCTTCATCAAGTATATTGTGATGAAAACGGTCCCAGCGCAGCAAATGATGATCAGAAACACAACTCCAGCAATGATGGCCGCTACCGGAGAGGTTCCGGCGGTCAGGGCGTGAGGAATTTCTGGAAATTGTCAAGACCAAATTCGTACCGTTTCCCGGAGATTTTCAAACTTTCGACTTACCGTTACTCATTTCCATGTGGCACTTGCGAATCTCGCGATCGCTGCCCTGGCACATCTTTTGATCTGGCGTTGGTATGAGACACCTTCTGGTTCGAACCTTTTCACCATCTGAGTTGCACGTAGACCATTCGCTCCATTCGCCCCAACCGAGGAAGGCTGCAAAAAGAATAAACACATGGCACGTTAGCTTCTACCATTCTTCTGAACCTAACAGTGACAGTGACAGTGACTTACAATCGCAGCTGGGCATCTCGCAGGTATCGTACTGAGTACTTTGTCCCTCGCAATCATTTCCGAAGACTACGTTGCCCGACATCGAAAGACATTGTCGGGAGCGAGTACGCGTTCCAAGGCCACAAGACACCGAACATGGCGACCAATCACTCCAGCATCCCCATTCACCTGTAAAAAAGCGTAAACATCATGAAAAACGGTCACAAAGCTTGTGCGAAACAGACCACCAACCTTTACAGGGCTGAGTGTTGCAAGCTCGCGCCATCCTGTTGATTCCATCGCATTCTGCTTTTTCGCAGCTCCTCGTCCGGAACTGTTGACCTCCTCCACAGGAAGCACTGCAACTGCTCCACGAGCTCCACTCACTCCAACCGTCTTCACTTTCGTTTCCTCCATGACCCGCATCGCTGGATCGCTGGCACGATCCATCCGCGTGGCACACCCTGGTTTCCTCTTTCGGACTAATCTTCAGCAGGGACGAATCCGCGATCGGAGCCTTGCAAGTATATCTGAATCGTTTCTCAACATAGCCTCCATTTGAAAGGGTTCCGTTGGCCACCGTTAGCCATGGTGTCCACGCTCCAGTTCGTTTTACATCCGGACATTGCTGGGTATTGCAAACTTCATAATCCAAATGGCATCCGGGACATTCCATTCCTCCATTCTGCGGGGCTGGATCGTCACACTTCCTTCTTCGAATGTGATATCCTCCTCCACAGGGAGCACTGCACTCTCCCCAGACTCCCCACGGTCCCCAACCTCCGTCAATTGGTGGTTGTTTCGGTGCTGGACATGGAGGTAAATGGGAACAGTAGATTTCCGCACGATCTGGTCCCACGCAAACTCGTCCTCCGTGAGCAGGTTTTGGATTACCACAAGTTCTACGTCGTGTCTTAACTGCCATTCCACAGGTCTGTGAACAAGCTGACCAAGCGCTCCAGTCCGTCCATCCACCATGGACGGTGCAGTTCGTAACGGCTATACTCATTCCGGTACAAGACCGACCTCCATTCTTGGGTGATGGATTATCGCAAGTTCTGGTCCTACACAGGCAGGCATCCGTGTTGATGGAGAAGTCTTCGTTTGTATTCATCGGATTAACTTGTCCGTTGGATTGAGCACATTTGCTCCACTCGGACCAGGCAGACCATCCTCCATCAACGGGAGCGGTGAGAACAGGACATTCTGTGGCATTCTGTATCCAGTACTTTGCGAGAGTATCCCCATTCGGAGCGATCGTACAAGCTTCCTGCAACTCGTTCCACCCACAGTAAGGATCCATCGAATTCAGACAACTCAATCTGGACAAATGACGATTGCAGTGATGTGAAGATATCCGACTTAAGGCAGTATCCGTACCAACGTACAGAGAGTCCGTTTCCTTCACATACTGTATCGTTCGAATTCTGGATTCGTTGCTTGGCTCCGGACGCCAGATCTCGACAACGCAGGTCGTTTTGGTTCTAGGTAGGACGGAGATCTTCTTTACCAGACCAGCGTCCGTTGCCACGTAGATTATGTGAACTCGTTCGTGCAGTTTGGTTGGAATCACGTCGATCGCTATGTGACTGAATCGTTCCAATTTTGCGTAGTGAAGTGGTTGGCCGGTGATGGGTTGCACAGCTTGATCCATCAGTTGGTACCGGGAGGAGTCGATCAGCGATACATGGCGAGCGGTCGGTCCAGCGTGGCATTCGAAGTGATCACGATGCTGAGCATCCTGCCGATGCCATGCGGAACCTAGGGACTCTTGATATTTGAACGCTCCAGAGAATGCGGTATGGATCGCGGACATGTTGAAGGCGCAAATTGCCGAACCGTGAATGCTGTTCCTGTGGAAACATATATGTTAGACCCCCATGCAAGACCAATCCCAAAAGCATACTTACTCTGGAGTCGTGAATGTTGCATACAGGACGCCCTCTTCCTGAGAATAGACCATTCCTTGGACTTCGTTGAAGTAGAACGGATAATCTCCGGGCAGGGAACAGTTCAGCCTAGCTTTCACGAACGACGTCCAATTGTCCTTCAGGATCTGAGTACCTCCGGGATCGTTCTTACAGATCCTAGCTATCCTGGAGTACACATTTTTTCCGCAGTTTATGAACTCCACCGCAGCCTCCCGGAATACGAAATACACAAATTCACCATGCTCGAAACTTCCGACAAACTGCGGATCGTTCAACCACTTGGAGTTGTACTGATTGGTTCGTAGCATGCGGCTAGTTTCCTGGGTCACTTCCGCTCTTAAAATGGCTGGATCCGATCCGGAAAAATCCGTCGTAGTTCCAACGAACAGCTTCCCGTTATCGGACATGTGGGCCGTATTGTTGGCGAACGGGCTAAAAGGGCACTTGGCGACGCCTTTGTCGTACCGGGTCACCGTCAGGTTCTCCATCTGCCGCCAGGAGCAGTACGGACTGAAGGCATATGTTCCGCAAACATAGACCCGGTTGCCAAAGTTCTCCAGTACCATAATGTGGTTCCGGCAGGCTTCCTCACTTTGGCCTTTATCCAGGCAAGTGTTTCGCATCGCCGGGGTCACCTCCCAGGGCATCTTTTCCCGCACGTCCAGGTGCAACGACAGCCGGTACAGGTTGTCCCTGGAATTGAAGAAGGATGGAAAAATGAAACTGTTAGTTTGATTTTTTTTTGCGGTTTGCGAGACTTGTGACATTGATTGTTCAACCACAGACCATATTGCTGCCTGGTTCAACAATTCGAACCCCCATATCGGCGACACCGACGATGGTGGTTTTGGTCTCGAAGTATGGGTACGGTTCATCAGTGCATTCGATATTGGTGCAATAAAGTGTGTTCCTTGCGAAAAACCGCAGACGTTACCGTTGTTGGTGTGAAAATAAAATCTTAGTGCTGTTGTCATGGGTGGTAACTGGTAACTGACCGAGCGAGAGAGAGAGAGAGAGAGGATGCAAATGGTTCAAGAAGAACGAGAAGCGAGAAAAGTAAACGTAAATTTTATTGGTTGCAATTAATAAAGATGTCGGAGGTTTCGATACGATCTTGATGTACGATCAATTGGTTGTTTGTTGTTGCTGACTGTGGTTGTACATTGAGGTGTACGACACCAATTGAACTTGAATCGGTGGAGGTTCTGGAGATCAGACACGGAGTAGGGACGATAAGAGCGCCGCACAATGCGGTCGATGGTAGCTATTTGTTGTTAGATTTATTACTCTGTAGACAACTGATCTTGCATTGAAATAGAACAAATATTTTGAGAGTTTTACAATATTGGTTTCTTGGCAACTGAGAAGTTTGTTTGTTATTGCATTGTAACTAAAGTTAGTAAATGAATTAAGAGGGGTTTTTTTTAAACAAATTGCTTTAAAAAGGATAATCGGCGTCCAAGGGAGTAATTTCCTAGGAACACAATTTACATTCTTTGGAGATCTTCAGAACAGGATCAATGTTGACCTATCTGGTTAAAATAATACTGGTTGAGGTATTTCAAGTATTATTTTAACCAGAGAGGTCAACCGTGTTGAAAACGTTTTGTTTTTCAATTCCAATATTATCTATTTTCTAGATTTAATTTGGGTATATTAAAAAAAATACATTTCGGATTAATAAAAGTTATGAATTGGGTTGTTAGTGGAATGCTCATACGAGCAACAAAAATGAGACCTGAGCAGATAATGAAAACAAAATGAAAACATAATTTGATATTATGATATAATCGTGACAACCGTGTGGTCGAGTTAACAGTAATCATAACAAAAATGAGTATGAAGATTATCAAAATAATAACAAAACTAAATTTGTTATCGCTTAAATATTTCATAAATGTAGCACAATATCAATATTTTGATGTCTAATTTAGTAATCAACTGAATATTTAAAATCTATTCTACATAGAAAGTGGTGTTAAAAAAATAGAAGCAAGATTCCTGAGAGAGGATTAAAAAAATGGGGTGCACACAAGGGGTAGGTCACTCCGCACACCAATCTTGGGTCAAAATTTTTCTCACATTACATTACATTTTAGCAAATCCACCTCGCAGTAGACCTGGATGCTAGGATTAGCATTGGGCGATCTTGAGGCAAGAATCGATCTTAGTGAATCGATTCATTTTTTGAAAATAATCTATTCATCGATTTAATCAATCATTTTGAATGGATTCATCTTTCGAATCGATTCTTTTTTTCAAAATGGCACAAAAATGTTTCAAATATAATGGATCATAGGAAAGTTGGTGCAGATTAATGCCAAGTTCAGTCAAATTGATATTACGTTACATAAGCTTTCTTGTTATGACATTTCACTTATAGTCATTTAGTGTGATGATTGATATCATTTAGAAATAAATTGTCTAGTACGTACGCAGTAAAAGTTGTGACAGTAACAAGCAAAAATGATGAGGATAAAGTAAATGACTATTTTTATTTGATACTTGATGAAGTGAGTAATTCAACAGGCTATAATATTCGTTTTATTGGTATTAAATGACCGAATAAAAAAAAAACAAAACTATTAGATGGTCGGAGTGTAAAAGCAGGTAAGTACGGAAAGTACTTAATTCAGATATCCCATAACTCATCCGAGAGGGATCCCAAGAAAGCTAATTGAGTCATGCGTTTTGCATTGAGCCGATATCGATTCTGTGTGGTTTCACCAGTTTTAGAGAATAGCCTCTCTGACAGAACACTTGTTACCATTCTTGATAAATAGTCTCGAGCAATGGGGTAAACATGGAGATATTCACTACGAATTTTCTCCCATGCTTGAAAAGGATCGCCAGAACGTGAGAAAACAGGCTGATGCAAGAAATTTTATAATTCTGCCGATATGCCCCCATGGCGATCCAGTTCTGACATAGTAGAGGACTGATGAACCTGAAATGTGTCATAAGAAGTAAATGTTTTTACATGTGTAGATTAATAACTTTCATTACCATTTCATCATGAATATCCCACAGGCTTCTGGTTGGTTTTTGGTGGGGGGACAGATGTGTGCATATCATCGTATACTCTTTCGGTACTATAGATCTGCTCAGACACAATTTTAACTGCCCGAGCATGAGCGGACGACTACAGGTACAGTGTCTTGAAACGGGGATCAAGGAGCGTTAAAATTGCAAATGTATCCACCAGCTCAACGTCCATGTTCATGGAGAGTGATGTGCAAAGGTGAAGACAAAATTAATCAATATTAAATTACAAATGCAAATGCACTGATTTTTTTTTGGGATCGAATCAAAAATCGAATGAAAAGGATCTATCCAGTCGTTTTTTCGTGTTTGAGATCGATTCTAAAAATCGATTAATCGAACCAAAAGAATCGATATTTTTTGTTTCAATCCAAGATCGCCCATTGCTAGCTGACCGATACGATTACGGTGCTGTGCGGAATGTCCATCTTTTTCCTGACCAACAAGAAGATCTACTTCTTGAAGCAGATCGAGAAGGACGGTGAGGAGGGCATTCCGTCGGTTCAGCTGCTGGTTTGGGATAAGAACGACAAAGACAAGGCCAATTTTGAAAAGCTGCTGGAGGCGATCAAGAGATCCAAGGATGACAAAACGTTGGGCGTCTTCTCCAAGGAGAACTTTCCTGGTGAATTATGTAAATCGTGGCGAGCCTTCGTCAAGGACAAGAGCTTCAACACGGTGGACATCAGCGTCCCAATCGGGTACATGGTCAATCCTACGTTTCAGAAGCACTACACCTTTCTGCTCAATCTGGAAGAGGAACTGCTGAAGGTGATGATTCTGGACAAGAAGCTCTCGGAGGTTTTCGACGTCGGAATGGATTATGCCAAAAAGGAAGATCCAAGCTAAGACGTTCGGTTTTGCCATCGGGTTGGAGATCCGGGAGAATTCGAGTATGTTGTAAGTTAAATAGGTTGAGTGGAAGCAATAACAATTCCGTGTGATTGTGCCGTGAAAAATAGTTCGGTCTTGCAACGACCCTACTTTTCAACAGCAAATCACCAGCACTCGGTCAATTGGTCATCTACCAAACAAAACTCACTTGAACAATACCGATCTATTTTTTACGGCACAATCACACAGAATTTTTATGGCTTGCACTCAACCTAATTAACTTACAATTTTTAGTTTATTTTACAAAAATCGAACACCATTTATATCATCTCGTATAAGATGACACATATCCGAAAATAAAACTACTCTTTTACTTATTTCTAATTTAAACAGAATTTTTACTTCATATTAACATACGTCGAATCGGTGGTAAGGAAATAGTTGTTAACCTTCACCGCCATCAAAACACATCCATCGTTGCCCCAGTAGTTGGACCAGGAGTTCTTGATTAGCCAGTAATCTTCTCCTTTGAGTTTTCCGTATCCAACCGCCACCACTGCATGATCTAATCAATCCAAATTGTTCATCCATTCCGGTTCGTACATACACTCCATTTGCGTAGTAGCTGAAAGGCTTGTGACCGGCATCGATAGCAATCGATAGCCGTCGGAAGCCTACATTTCGAATTTAAATGTGAACCGAGAAGTGAATTGCTGGTCTGAATTCTTCTAGTATATACAGTAAGAGTATTTTTCTGAAACACGAAGTCAAACTTCAATGACAGCTGTCTAGCGATGCACCCATTTTATTTTAAAAATAATCCAATGCCTTCGAGATTGTGCCGAACGTGTGCCGATGGATGTGCCCAAGCTGTGCCGAATTAACTTTCGGCATACTGTGCTGAGTGACTCACTCCTTGGGTGCACATGACGAACCTTAAAAAATGGCACTTTCCAATACATCAAGCAAACATTTTCTAAACGCATGAACATAACGGTAACAATAAGAGCTGTCTATAAACGCTTTAGGAGTTATTCATCATCATTATCATCATCATCCAATCGAAAAAAAAAATATTTTTAATTCTTAAAATTTCAGTAAAACCTAACCCTTTTATATTTTTTACAGACTCCTCAGGTTTTAAACTAAAAGATAAACAATTGGAACGACATGTTTTGTTTCAAATTTGTTTGTTACAATTTTGTTAAATCATTCAAGTTGTGACTTTTAAGGAACATTAATTAAGGATTAAATGTGAAGAATTTCGTTACCTACAGCATATTCAATAGCAACCAACCTATCGATGAAACCGTCGAATACAAATCGCCTACTACCTTGTAAAATTTGATGTTTTCGTGTTATCACATGGTAACATTTGTTTTGAAGTTTCTAGAATTCAATCGGAGGATATATAAGCGGAAAGTAATTAAAAATGCTTATTAGGAATCTTTGCTTGACCATCAAGCAGTTCAGTTCAGTTTTAGCTGGTGCTCTCGAGTTGTTCGGAAAGGTCGTTGCAATAGTGTTCGCATTCTCTCTTCCGCGGTGTTTGTGTGTGTGTGTTGTGTGTGTGTGTGTGTGTGTGTGTGTGTGAGAGTCGAAATAAGGAAGCATCGCTCACGAAGCCCGGTGAAAGAAGCTTGGGTGTACCTATATCCAACAGGTTTGCTGTTCTTCCCATTGATGGGAATACCCAGCCAACTGTGAAGGAAAAGCGCAGCAAGATGAGGTAGAAGAATTTGGGTCAGTCAGATGGCACGATTGGTCACGACGAAGTCACTGCGACGAATGGCAGTGATGTTGGAGATTTCGGTGAC